AGTATCATTTGGGCAAATTGCCATTTTAAATAGGGCATTCTTGGTCAAAAGCTGAAAGAAGGGGAGAAAGGGATGTGGATTGAGGGGTGGGTAAGAGGAATCCAGCAAAAGGAGTGGCCAGATAAGATTGATAGGCCAGAGAAGATTGGCTGGGGGTAGGATGAGATCAGAGAGAGGGGACAGATGCGAGCTTTCATTCTAAACAAATCTATCCCAGCTTTATATTATGAAAAGTATTACATGGAAAAATAGAGGAATGGGACAGTGAACACTAGCATACTTTCTGCCTCTGTACAGCAGTTAACATCTTGCTTTGCTTGCTTTACCTTTCTGTTTTCATTTTGAAAAAAGTGAACTTTTATTTTGCTGAACCATTTGAAAGTCAGTTACAGACATCATGACACTCTAAATATTTCCAATATAGATCTCCCACCCCATCCCCAAATTAGCAATAATTCTGTAATATAACCAGGCCACATTCATATTCCCCAGTTGTCTCAAGTTGTCTGCAGCTGTCCCACCCTGCCCCACACCAGGATCAGTCAAGGGTCAAACATGCGGTAGACTATATATGACATGTCAAAAGGTTGCGCTTGACTGAAGTGAATGCTGCCAGGGTCTATCCATTATGGAGGCAGAAAGGGTTGGATTCAGGAGTTGAAAGCATAAAGATAGAATACGTTTCTCTCTGCTCTTAGCAAGCTGTCTGCAAATGCCTTTGGCTCCAATGAGTATGCTTTCCTCAGTAACCTCACATTCCAGCCTGATGGGGGAAGAGTACTGATTTTCTGCTTCTTTAATGCCTCTGCATTTATTAGCTAGTGGTCTCTGGTAAAGAAGAGAATTCTTTTTTTCTCGTTTCTTTCTCCTTTTTGAATATCATTATTGGCTCCGATTTAAACCATATTTTTATTGAGGTATAATTGACACGTTCAGTTTGGTGAAGTTTGATGATGGGAGCACATCTATGTAATCGCCACCTAAAAAGGCAAGGGACAATTCCATCTCCTAGAGAATTCCTCTGTCCCTTTCCAGATTCTCCCACATATCACTTTCTGTTTTCTGTCACTATAGAGTTGTCCCATTGGTGCTCAGACTTCATGGAAGTACAGAGCACACACTCCCATGTCTGGCTACTTTCTCAGCAGCGTGTTTTTGGGATTTATCTATGTTGTGTGTACCACTAGTTTTTTCTTATTGCTGAGTGAGTACATATAAAAACTGACATCTGTGTATAGTCTGTAGTCTAGTTAATGGTATTGTACCCATGTCAGTTTCCTAGTTTTGGTGATATGTTAACATTATGTAAGGGTTTAGCATTGGGGGAAGCCGGGTGACAGTGTGTGGACCTCTCTGTAATCGCAACTTCTTATAAGTCTATAGTTATTTCATAACAAAAAACACACACCCTGTGAAGTTTCCAATTGAAATGTAATTTTACAGGGTTTTTCTTTATTTCCTATTCCTTGTCTTTCTCTCATACTGAAAAGCTGGATTCCTTAATCATATAAATATATTTATTGGCTTTCTCCTATAATTTATATAAGATAGTTTCAAACTCAGTAATATTATTGTTAACCATGAAGTGACTGAGTGAGGTTTAAGCTTTTTTTTTAGTTTATTTTAGAACATATCCAGGCAAAGATGGACATCGGAGCACGAAGTTGACCACGTCATTGTTTTCTCTTATCAGTTTGACTTGCAGTTTGGTTCATGTGTTTCTGCTTATGCTTAGATTTACTGCTTATTATACATATTTTTGACTTTTAATTTTTCCTTAACCTTAAAATATTTTGTGTTATGGATAATTTCAAGCATATATAAAATGGAGAGAAGGGTATGTGAGACACCAAGCATCCTCACCCAGCCTCAACCCTCACCCTACTTTCTCCCTGCCAAGCTGTTACTTTGAAACAAGTATTTCACAAATTCTTTCCTTTGTAAATATTTTGATATGTATCTCCTAAGGGCATAGCCACAATAGCTTCATGACACTTTTTAAAAAGCAGTAATTCCTTACCAGTAACAAAATCCCCACGGTGTTTTAGATATCACTAATTGTCTCATAAATTTTTAATAGTTGGCTTGTCCATGTCAGTATCTAAGGTCTACATGTTCCGTGTGCTTGATATGTACCCCCCATGTACTTTAAGCTTCCTTTATTATTATTTTTTTTTTTTTGAGTAAGATTAGTATTACTTCTTTAATATTTGAGAAAAGTCACCAGTGAAGCCATCTGGACTTGTTTTTTTCTTTGAAGAAAGAAGTTCAGTTACTAATTCTCAATTTTTTTCCTTCTGATTTTTTTTTGTCCCTCCACCATTTTTTTAAAATTCCCATTGCCCCACCTATTTCCTCTTTGTCAGCTATCAGTTTGTTCTTTATATCTGTGTATCTGTTTCTGTTTTTTTTGTTCATTCATTTTGGTTTTTTAGATTCCTTATGTAAGTAAAATCATTTGATATTTGCTTTTCTCTGACTTATTTCACTTAGTGTAATACCCTCTAGGTCCATCTATCCATGTTGTCACAAATGGCAAGATTTCATTATACAATGGAATAATATTCCATTATATATATATTCCACATTGATGAACATCTAGGTTACTTCCATGTCTTTGCTATTACTAGGAATGCTTTTAGAATTAGTGTTTTTGTTTCCAATATATATTCCACATTGATGAACATCTAGGTTACTTTCATGTCTTTGCTATTACTAGGAATGCTTCAGTGAACATAGGGATGCATATATCTTTTAGAATTAGTGTTTTTGTTTCCGTCAGATAAATACCCAGATAGAATTGCTAGATTGTATGGAAGCTCTATTTTTAATATTTTGAGGAACCTCCATACTGTTTTCCATAGTGGCTGCACTAATGTGCAATCCTACCAACAGTGTACAAGAGTTCTCTTTTCTCCACGTGCTTGCCAGGACTTTTTTGTTGTTGTTGATTTGTTGATGATAACCATTCTGACAGATATGAGGTGATATCTTATTGTGGTAGTCTACGGCCATGCTACACTGAACACGCCCGATCCTGTCTGATCTCGGAAGCTAAGCAGGGTCGGGCCTGGTTAGTACTTGTATAGGAGACCACCTAGGAAGACCAAGTGCTGTAGGCTTAAAAAAAAAAGAAGAAGAACGGTAGGTATTCTTTGTTTGGTAGAATTCACCTGTGAAGCCATCTGGTCATGGACTTTTATTTGTTGGGAAGTTTTTTGATTATATCTTCAATTTCTAGTAATTGGTTTGTTTAGAGTTTGTATTTCTTACTAGTTCAATCTTGGAAGGTTATGTACTTACAGAAATTTATCCATTTCTTCAACATCGTTGAATTCGTTGGCATATAATTATTCATAGTGCTTAATGATTTCTTTATATTTCTGTGGTGTTGGTTGTAATTTCTTTCATTTATGATTTTACTTATTTGGGCTCTTTTTTTTCCTTGATGAGTTTGGCTAAGGGTTTGTCAACTTTGTTTATCTTTTCAAAGAACCAGCTCAATTTTATTGATCTTTTCTGTTGTTTCTTAAATTCTCTTACATATTTCTACTCTGATCTTAATTATTTCTTTCCTTCTGTTTACTTTTTTTTTTTTTTTAGTGCCTACAGCACCTCGTCTTCCTAGGTGGTCTCCCATCCAAGTACTAACCAGGCCTGACCCTACTAAGCTTATGAGATCAGGCATGTTCAGAGTGGCATGGCCATAGACTTAACTTTGGGTTTTGTTTGTTCTTCTTTTTCTAGTTCCTTTAGGTGTAGAGTTAGATTGTTTATTGGGATTTTTCTTGTTTCTTGAAGAGAAATACTTGAAATGATCTCAGTCTTCTTGAATTTATTGAGTCTTGTCTTGTGGCCTGACATGTGATCCTGAGGAAAATGTATATTTTTGGATGAATTGCTCTATAAGTGTCTAAGTTTATCTGGTGATATTTAAGGCCATTATTTCCTTATTATTAATTTTCTGTCTGGATGATCTGTCCATTAATGTGAGTGGGGTATTAAAATTCTGTACTGTTATTGTATTACTGTGGATTTCTTCCTTTATATCCATTAATAATTGCTTTGTAGATTTAGGTGCTGCTATGTTGG